GTCTGATTCCCAGGCACGGGTGAGCAGTGGTAGCACCCTACTGGCTGGCAGAATAATGCAGTTTTGACATGTGGCCCCCGAACTCCCAGTGGGGATGAGAACTTCTTGCTAAATTCTTCACTAACTCTGCTGTGTTCTAGTCTATTAACATTAAGAATGTTTTCTTGCATAATAACTGTAAAGGTTTTTACAGTTAGGATTGTGAAGTCGAAATGTCGAATTTATTAGAGATTTAATTTAGATTACTAAATCCTAATGTCTCATTTAGATTATTTGAATTATACACAGTGTTCCACATGAAAGTATTGGAGTCATGGACAAAATTTGATAGGTAGTCCAAGAGTAAAAAATAGATCATAATATCAAATCATTTCACTGCAGGCGTGTTAGCTTTGGCCACCCTGCTGCAGAGTGCCTGGTTTTTTCCACATTCTATTGTCTGCATATCTGATTCAAAGTCATGACATCTATTGTCTTGCTTGAGAATGATTAATTGGGAAAAACCACAGGAGTTGCCGGTTTCTATTCAGTGTGGCCCTCTCCCCCCATAACATCTTCCCAGGCTCCCAGGGATAGGCACCGTTGCCGGGGAGGCAGTCATGGGTGCTGAACAGCTTCCCCCTCCCAGAAGACTGCGGAGTGTGTTGGCTCTGACCTGGAAGAGCCCATCCGGAGAGCAACATGGCTGGCTGGCTATGTTCTCCCTCCTCTCTAGGACCTGAAGCCTTGTTGTCTTTGCTTTTCGTTTTGGGTTACAGACCAGCAGATTTCACCAAAGAACACTTCTGTGTTTTGTTGGCGTGAGGTTTACCAAGAACACCTCCCAGGTGTGATGTGGGTTGTAAGCACAGAGGCTGGTCCTGTGCTCTCTTGGGTTGCAAGATGAACATCACTTCAACACCCAGAAATCTATGTTTGACATCCATCAGGAGCCGGTTATCATCATTATTGTGCTTTTAAAACACTTTCAAAGTCAACATAGGGTAACTGTATTGAGTATTACAAAATATTCAGGACATGTATATGCTATGCTGTCTGACTTACAGTCTCTAAGCAATCTCAAAGTAGTAATATAAGTATCTACTCTGTTTCAAAAACAGAACTCTGTTTACTGACTTGTTTATAACATATAGGACTCATTGTGTTTCGTTTAAAAAATGGTATTACTGACTTTTCATATACCACCTTCTATTTGCATAAACTGTGTGGAGTCCATCTGTAGCTCTCCTTGTAAAACACAGCTTAAAGTGTAGTTGGCCTGTTTCCTCCCCATCTTTTGGGTTCTTGGCCTCCTGGGGCAAGGCGTGGATACCAGGTGGCCCTGCCATGGGCTGTGGTCTCAGACGACCATGTCAGAAGCAGCTGGCTTCCCTGTGGCTCTCACCAGCCTGCCTGTGTATTGGCTTTCTCTTGATTTTCCTTCACTTCATGCCGTATCTTTGTTAAGCTTGATTTAGAGAAACACGTGTTGCACAAAGCCAGGTTTATACTTTAATGTGATGCAGTGAGAACTGAAGGTGTGCAGGGAAGGGGGCTTTTCCTGTCGTTGACATCGGGCCCCAGTGTAGCTTTGTTTTGCTTGTGAGGTGTGTGTGTTATGCTTAAATGAAGATAACGTGATGGAAGGTGCTTTGATCAGGGCTTAGCCAGTGACTGCTCAAGAGCAGCCGTGTTGTGATTAGTGGTTCTGCAAGTGGTTAATTGCCTTGCATTTTAAGCAGGGCAAGATTGTAGAAGGCTGTTGATACCAAGTTCTTTAAAAATGAAAGAGTCAGGGGCCAGCGTTGTGGTATGGAGGGTAAAGTCATGGTCTGTAACACCAGCATTCCAAATGCACATTGGTTCGAGTCCTGGCTGCTCCACTTTTGACCCATCTCCCTGCTAATGACCTGGGAAAAGCAGCAGGTGTTGGCCCAAGTTCTTGGGCCCCTACCATGCACGTGGGAGACCCTGATGAAACTCCTGGCTTTAGCCTGGCCCTTCCTTGGCCATTGCAACCATCTGGGGAGTGCACCTGCAGATGGAAGATCAATCTTTCCTGTCCCTCCCTCCCTCTTTCTCTCTGTAACTGTGCTTTTCAATTAAATAAGTAAATCTTTAAAAACAAAGGAGGCAGACACTCCCTCCGCTTAGCTCCTTGGTCTGCAGAAGCTGGGTGGTGTCCTCTGGAAACCTCATCTCTGCTCCCAGCACACCCTGGCCTCCAACCCTGAGTACTCAGAATTCCTGTCACGCCTGTGATCTGCACCGAGCTGGTGACCCTTAATGTGACTTATATTTGCAAATGGTAGCTTCATTCGTAGGTCCCCCCTCCCCAACAAACACATTATTTATTGAGCATCTAACATGTGTCAGCCCCTTGGGCATTTAGGTTTGACTCAGACACACAGGAAACCCCTCTGCCCTCAGGGAGATACGTTGCAAATTGCTGGCGGTCAGTGTAGTGAAGGCTGCATGCACTGTTGGCCTGGACGAGAGACTGTGGCTCTGGGCTCAGCCACATTCTGTCCACAGGGAAACAGTGATCTCGTCAGTTAAAGTGACTTGTGTGCTAACTATACACACACACACATATATATAAAGTAAACCTGTAAATCACCCATTTGTATTGATTGGATTGGATCCATTTGTATTGATTTTTATAAAGAAGCAGACTTTGGATAGAAGCAGCTGTGGATACTGCAGGCATTTAGAAAGTGAACCAGTGACGGGAGAGCTATCTCTGTCTCTCTTTTTCCCTCCCTTTCTATCTGTCTCTCAAACAAATTAAAAGCTTTTAAATGTCTTTATGAAGGAAATAGGATCTTGGAAGCATTTTACATGAAGAGCAAGCTCTGTTAGCTGCTTTGTAGGCATAGTGGGTGCTGTGGAGGGTGTAAGCCCCAAAGAGAAAGCACACAGCTTGGGAAAGGCTAGGATGCATCTTCTCCGGAGAGCCCAATGGATGAGCAAGGAAATGGGTACATCTGGCTTGGTCAGGATCCTGAACTCTGAAGCCTGGGAAGCCCCCAAGGAGGTCGATGGACAGTAAAAGCTGCCTTGCCAAAAGAGCCAACAGATGAGGGAGGTGCAGACATCCGGGCCCCAGCCTTGTGGTGTAATTTAGGAGCGCTTTTTGCAATATGGGTGCTACCACGTTGCTCTGTGCCAGCTTGGAAAGCAGACACAGGATGGAAAATGTTTGGGCAGGAATTGGCCCCTGGATCGTCTATGCACCGATTTCCTAAAAAGGCCAAGGAATAAGACACGAGAAAACGGAAGTGTCAGGAAGTTGAGTGGCTTGATGCTCCAGGCAGTTAGTTCGTGCCATGCATCTCACATCTCACCGCTGGTGTTCAACCCCAGGGACTTATCAGGGTCACTGTGGGTGGGGAAGGCGCAGTCACAGAAGTCCAAGAGCCTTGTCCAGACGTTGTGGTACCGCATGTTCTACACAGTGAGTTGACAGTTGCCCACAGAGAAGAAGGTTTGACGTTTAGGAGGTTGAGCAGATGCCTTGGTGAAGACGTTCAGATCCTCTGGAGGTGAACTTTGGGAGTCTCTCTCCAGAAAACTGTGGCCAGAAAGGTCACAGAGAAGCTGCCATTGAATAAGCCATGACTGGCGCTTGTCGGAAGTTCTAGAGAATTCAACAGGACACACATGAATGTTTCAAGTTTGTCATTATTTTAAAATACACACTTTGAGTTCTGCTTCAAAGAAAGATTTTATGCTAGATGATTCCCCCTGTTCACCACTTCTTTGTGAATGAATGTTGTATCTTGCTTGAAAAAGGGTGGGGGGAGAGACACCCTTTCTGTGGAGTTGTTGGATAACAGTCCCCAGAGAGTGGCAGAGCCACAGGGAATATTGGCTTTCAACATGAATCTATGATATAATTTCTGTTATGCTTTGTGCTGCTTCATAACCACTCGTGCACTTTTCAGAAAATTAATCCCATTCATTAGCATAAGCCATAAGCTCTTACCTCAGTATGGATTCGAAAATGGGGGTGCCCGTCCCCCTGTCTTTCTCTCACTGAGTGAATTAGGAGCCTGCAGTCCTCACGGCTGGTGGGCTTCCCTGGTGAAATAAAGCCTTGGGTTGGAAGTATTCAGAGAGGGTGCTTTGTTCTAGGGCTTTAATATTTTAATGAGGCTGCAGGCTTGGCTGCTTACGGAGGAGCTGGGGTTTCTGAGTGTGTCGTTAGTGTTAGCACTCCTGGAAGGATGTTCATTAGCAAGCTCTTGTTTCAGTTTCTCAGAGAAACTCCCCATTAAGATAGATCTTCCAGCAGCATGGCCAGCAAGGAAGAAAAGGAGAAGGGGAGCTTTGGGTTGTAAGCTTTACGGGGATATTGTATCAGTAGTCTTCAGTTCCACAGATTTGCTTCTAAGAATTAATTGGAGCAAATACATCTCAAGGGAGGGGGAAGAGGAAGACTTGTAGAGCAAGGACAGTAGCTGTTGTCCCTGCAAGTAGAGGACTCTTCGTTTGCAGCTGAATCAATATTACGACTAATTATTTCTGGTTATCCTTTATGGGTTTGTAAGACATTTCTTTTGTTCATCGTAATAAAAAACCCATTGTTTGATCAGTGACTGACTAATTATGATAAGTAATTCGAAACATTCTTGATGAAACTTGTCTGTTAATTAACATCCACAGCAAATGGAAACTAACAGGACAACAACATATTATTAGTGCATCCCCTGTTCCCTGGAATTGACAAGATCTCTCTGTGGCATGCCCAATAAACTAAAGCTGCCAATGGTTAAAAAATAACAAACAGGTGGGAAGGTCTGACTCACCATGGAGGAAAAGTCATTGTAAAGTTACACAAAGGAGTACTGAAATATTACAAGCGAGGGGGCGGAAAAGAAATGTCAGCAGGTTGCCTGATCCTATTGCCTGGAGGGAGGAGAGCAGCTTCTTTCTTTCTTAAAAGCCTAATTCCTGAATACATTCCTGAACCAAGAGACTTTTGGTAAATAAAAGCGTGGACTTGAACAGTTGTGGTTGGGAATGTTGGTGCTGTTTGACTGATTTGTGACTATCATTGGCACCGTGAATTTTTATCAACTCAATGGCATTTTCTTTTTATGCTTTTAGATTTCTACCTGGACAAGGACTGGTACTATATCCACAGATAGGAGACAAATTGGATATTATATGCCCCAAAGTGGACTCTAAAGCTGTTGGCCAGTATGAATATTATAAAGTTTATATGGTTGATAAAGACCAAGCAGACAGATGCACTATTAAGAAGGAAAACACCCCTCTCCTCAACTGTGCCAAACCAGATCAAGATGTAAAGTTCACCATCAAGTTCCAGGAGTTCAGCCCTAACCTCTGGGGTCTGGAATTTCAGAAGAACAAGGATTACTACATTATATGTAAGTATCAATCTGTTTATTTTATAGACATTAAAGCTAAATAGGTTTGTATGTTTTTTGTTTATTTTAAATTATTGTGGAAAGAATCTGTGCTGAAAAATTGCCCATTTTTTTTGTTGTTCAAAGAAATCTTGATTGATTTAGGGACCCTGTACTAACAGTTAATTAAATATAAATACCCAAAGGGGGAAAAAAACTCTTAAGAATTCTTATAGTATTGAAATTAATGGATTGTATGAATATGCTTAGCATCTCTGCCAACAAAACCATTTTTAAGGACCATTGGTGAGATTTTGACAGGTGAATCTTGAGCAATGCCTTTTCTCTCCATCCGTCCGTCCATCCGTCCATCCATCCATCCATCCATCCTTCCACCCACCGAGTGTGGATTCTATGTCAGAGCTGTGCTTCAGTGGCAGGGTTCAACAGTGAGTAAGATGGTAATGGTGCGTTGGCCTCGTAAAGTTACCTACCAATCCAGAGAAGATGGAGCCCATGGGTTGGAGGGATGGGGGTTCCAGGCAAAGCACCACTGTATGCGATCAGTTAAAACCAGAGTCAGAAGAAGATAAAACTTGGGTTTGTTCCATGAATTCCCCTCCACCAAGCCATGTAATAATTTGGTACATTGTTTCAGGACCGGATGATCTATAGCCATTGGGTAGTATTTAAAGCTAACTCTTAGGGCAGTGAAGGCCAGTGGTACTCAGGCCCAGCATAGATGCCTGCTAGTGGTAATCACATGTTGGTGCCACGCTAGGATCATCCCCAGGGCCCTGGGCCTTGTCAGTGAAGGCTGGGAGACTGAGAGAGCTGTTGGCATCATCCAAGCAGTGAAAGCGGCTTCTTAATTTCTTTGGTTTCCAGTTTTACTCATACCTGAGTTCTCCATTTATTTCCATAGACTTCAGCTCATTAGGGAACTGCTGTCTGCTGGCCTGGCTCCTCTACCTCTAAGTGATCAGATTGCAAATCTGGCTTTTTCAGTCCGCTTTTTTTAAGCAGAGTCAATAATTCACTGAATACTTACCTAGTTCTCTGTAATAATACTTTAAAATACATTAACGATAAAAACAAAGGTGGTTGTAGACACCTAGCTATATTGTCTGTTGATGTAAAACAGCAGAGAGTCTGAAAACCTATTTTTATTAAGTATTTCATCTATTTTGAAAGGCAAGGTGACAGAAAAAGGGAGAAATGGAGAGAGAAATCTTCCATCCACTGGTTCACTCCCCAAGTGACCACAATAATCAGGGCTGGTCCAGGCCAAAGCCAGGGACCCAGAACTCCATGCAGGTGTCCCACATGGACAGCAGGGACCTGAGTACTTGGGCCATTCTCTGCTGCTTTCCCAGGTGCATTAGCAGGGAGCTACATCAGAGGCAGAGAAGCCCAGACTTGAACTGGCGCTCTGATAGGGGACGCCAGCATCACAAGTAGTAGTGTGACCCACTGTGCCACAGTGCTGGCCCCTGAAACTGACTTTTAAAGCCAACTTAATATTTATGGAGTAGCTTACTAAAAGAAAGAAAGAAATGGTAGCTTATGTATTTACGGGAATAATTATCATAAAACAAAAATGAAAACATTCTAAGATGAAACGCAGCAGATGGGGTGGTAAAGTGTACAAAATAATACGGCAATCTTTGAAAATATAAAAGTTATGAAGTAAGACAAATGAAGACTTTAAGCTTTTGGAAGCCTAACAGTGTTTTCTTTTTAAAGACTTTTTAACTAAGATTTTTTTTGATGCACACTTAGGATTAGTTTGACATTTATAGGACCCAAACCTGACCTCTGCTGAATTAAGACAGCTATTGCCGCTGGGTGGGATAGGAGGAAAAAGCTGGGGTGCCTGTAGAGTGGGTGCACTGAAATTGGAATGTCTGGTGCTGGTGAATGGCTGTTCCCCAAACTGTGGCTGCAGCCCCATTCCACAGGTTGGCCTTCGCACGCAGGGAAGCCAAGAGACCCAAACAGCTTGTCTGCTCTCTCTCTCACTGATGACCTCATCCAGATGACTGTAAATTCTGGAGTCCATGGAATCCAAGTAGGATTTCAGCAAACATGAAGGGTTAGCCTTAATTCTGAAATAATTTGAAAGAAATTCAGGTTAATGAATGATTTACCAACATTTATTTGCCTAGTGTAGTCAGCATTTAATTACTACTCTTTGTCATTGCGCAAGAGACCTGTGTTTAGCAGTACAGTTTAACTTATAATTATTATATTAATCTATACCATAATGGCGTTTCTTCTTATTTTTGGGGAAGTTTATTGTACAGCATTAACTGGGCTCACTGAAGGTAACTGAGCTGCTCTGTCCTCCAAAACTCATCTTAGAGTTACGATTTACATGTCGCTTCTCAGCCTTTTGGCTAAGATCAAGTGTAGAGTTACGATTTACATGCAGAAGCTCACGGTAACCTGGATGAAGGAATCTTCAAATGCAGTTGAGGATTTCATGCTTGAAACAACAAGGGGCTGTTTGAGTGCTGCCGGGTGGGAGGCTGTCCCAGGGCTGGGTCAAGTGCTCAGGGCTCAGCTGTTTGCCAGGAAGTCCAGGGAGTTGAAGGGAATCCACCGCACCATGGGCATAGGAAGGCGTTTAAGATATTGGAAACCTCTAGAAGCCAGATTCTTAACCATGCCTGTGGCAAAGCTCATAGCCATACAAATTTCCCTTGAAAACAAATGGGAAATGAGATGAGCAAATTTTTAAAGAGTTTTAAAGATTAATGTTGACTTTGCATTACTTCTTCATGAATCCCAAGGCACCAAAACAATTAAGGGATTTGTAAAAGTCACTGATTTCCATATCAAACACACACCCATACACAGTGTCACAGTCTATCCTGTCTTGTTGTGAGAAGGAGAGGACAATGTTGGAAGGCAGTACATTCACAAAATAGTGTGAGGTAGCATTGTGGGAAGCACTCAGATTCACGGGTGTATTTCTAACACGTCAAAGCACTGGTTTACTGCATACAGTGAATTGTATTGACATGTGAGTTGCTGTGAGGTACACTACAAATACTTAGCTCCGAATCTTTGTGTCTAGTTGATAAGCACCTTTACCACTGAACTGATTATTAAGTTAATTGCTACTCTGTGCTGGTTCATTTCCAAGAGAAGGAAGAAGAGGAATGATGGTTTGGAGTGGTTCTCTGTCTACTCCAGTGGGGAGTCATCCAAGCAGACTGCACATGGTGTTGGGTAATTCCCTAGATGAGCAGCGTTTCAGACATATCAGGCCAGGAGCCCGTCCTAGTTTCTGATTCTACTGCTATTGGAAAAGTCAGCATTCCTCAGAGCTTTGATTTCCATCTCAGAATATTTCACTGTTGGTGGTGTTCCGGCTCATGACGCAGTCTGCTGGCTCCAGCCCGTTGTGGCTGTACGTGCACATCCAATGAAGGACCACGTGTTGTGGGTTCTTCTCCAGCCGAAATGGACAGAATGTGCTGTGAATTCTGGTTTGTAGTGCTACCTGACTTGAAAGGTGGTCTTCATACTTTTGAGTTTTAGAAGTAAATATTAATTTTTAATTGCAAGTGTATTTTTAAACCTACCAAGAAGCTAGTAAAATCCCTTAGGAAATAACATGACACAACGATAGGCAACCTCATTAATCCTTCCCATAGATGATTATTTGCTTTGACATGTGGCAAAATGATACAAATGGGTTTTCTTCGTGTTTAGAATTGACTTTTTCAAGTGACCTATTTCAGTAATTAGCCTTGGGCCTAATTTGCATAATAAAATCTCCCAATCTTGACAGGAACGAAGGTAAGGATGTTAATGATCATTTGGTCGGAAAGCCTCCTGTTCTGCATTTTATTCAGATCATTGATCCTCTTAAATCCATGGACAATGTTTTGCATACCTGATAGTCATTGTTATTATGTCTTCAAAAATGTTTAAATGTTTATGAAGCACCTGTTTGTTCTGAGATTGCCCATTTCCAAGGCAAGCTGTCTTTTTTTTTTTTTTTTTAAGATTTATATTCATTTGAGAGGCAGAGTGAGAGAGGGAGAGAGAGAGGAGTCTGCCATCCTCTGGTTCACTCCCCAAATGGCCACAACAGCTGGAGCTTAACCAATCTGAAACCAAGAGCCTGGAGTTTCTTCTGTGTCTCCCACGTGGGTGCAGGGGCCCAAGGACTTGGGCCATCTTCCACTGATTTTCCAAGCCGTAGCAGAGAGCTGGATTGGAAGTGGAGCAGCCAGGACTTGACCCAGGCAAGCCTGTCTTAGACGTGGTAGATATTCCAGTTAACGCTGGGAAAGCATCCCTGTGTCTCCAGCATCCATCCACAGTGTTGTCTTTGAGGCTCTTTCTGTGCTTGACTTACAGTTTCATTTTGGTGGTGACAACCTAGAGCTGGGTAGGTCAACAGGTGGTGCACTGGCACTTAGCTTCTATGCTGAAGGCTCCATTGGGTTGATTACCAAACATTAGCATCAGTGACACCACCAAGATTATGAGTCAGGAATAGATGGAAAATGAATGCCGTTGTATTAATACTTTGTGAGTGTAGTGGCCACAGCAGAGTATCAAACGAAGAAAGCTACATTCACAGAGCATCTTCCAGTTTCAGCCTATGGGTTTTGCATTATTTTGTTCCAGGTTTGTAGCTAGGACATGATCTTGTGGCATAGTATTTCCAAATATTGTTTGATTAAAGTTGTTCTATACAGTGCACAGCCTGTGGGGTCATAGTGATCATTTTTGGAGGCATCCCTCACTTTCCATGCCTTAGCAAACTCTTGAGAAGCCATGAATCTAGAGGAGTTACCATTTCTTAGGCTCCCCTGTTGATTTAGTTGTCTAAATTTTTTTTTTTAATAAGAACCTGTAAAACTGGAAGACTTCACGGACAACTTTGCTATTTTTGGGGGCGTATAATTCTGAGCAAAACCACAAAGTAAAATACTCGCATATATATAGCAAAACAATATTTTTTAAGAAGCAAAACAAAACAGTAGATTCTACATTTT